GAAGTCCATCTGTGCCTTCCAGCAGTACCTCCCCCCCCTCCAAATAGTAGTTTGTGTAGTTCTTTAAAGAAAGGGGGTGTCTCCATAGAGGGGAAGGGGAGGTGCTAACTGGGTATGGTTAAAAGAGGAGGCAAAGCTATGAGCCTGACCATACCTGCAAATAGCGTTTTTGCCTTGCCACTGTGACTTCAGCTTTATAGCAAAAGAAACAAGGTTGTGGTTCCCAAGGTCGAGGAGTTCAGATTTTTCCTTCTCCAAGTGGTAGGAGTAACCAGGATCATTTCGGCGCTCAGTCACCTGTGCCTGCGATGCAGATGTCTCCCAAGCCGATGGAAAATGGATTATGTGAAATGGAATAACACCGCGTTTTCTTGGCTTCTGTTCAAAATACGTTTCCAGGGCTGTGCCAAAAGCCTCCGGCTTGAGGGAGTGTCAGCTTGGGGGTGGGTGGGGAGAGGCGGACTCGATTTCCCAATATCCAAAATCCAGGACGTGATATCAGATAAGACTGAGCGGGAAGAGATTAGGATAAGCCCTGGCTTCTCTGCGCAGGCTTGGTGTGGTGTCAAGGGTTTCTAAAAAAAATTTTTTTAAAAAAATCAGCGACTCCCTTAGCTTGTAAGAAGGTAGATTTAAACGTAAAGATTGAAAAGCTTCTGTGAAAAGTGCCTTTCTGGAAACCGTGAAGCAGCCGTTTCTCCAGATGAGCCGCTCAAGAGATTGAGATGCCGCAGAGATTTCAGGTCCAGCTGGCAGTAGCAGGAGACAACTGTCAGACAGTTCTAACCAGGGGTCCTTTCCTGCAGGAGCGGCGCTTCGGCAGTAAAGAGCCCAGGGGGCGGGCACATGCAACAAGCCCCGCCCCCTGCCCCCAGCAGCCCTCAGTCAGAGCATGAAGCAACCAGGTAAGCTGCAGAGCCCCACCCCACCCCAGTTTAAAACAGTCCAGTGGCACCTTTAAGACCAAGTTTTATTCAGGTACAAGCTCTCCCTCCTCTGTGAGGGCAGATCTGCGTGTGTCCCCCCCCAATAGCTAGCAATCCGAAACAGTCCAGTGGAGCCTGAGCGGTGGGTGTTGCCTTCTGACACACTTCCGGTGATGTCAGGGGGTGGGGCATATGCAAATACGTTATGCGAATGAGTTCCTGCACTTCTTTTTCTACGAAATGACCCCTGGTTCTAACAAAGCCTGGGAGAGTGTAGGACCCCTTTGAACCGGCCCTGGGAAAAGGGCATCTTTTACACGTAGGAGGGGCCAACGTCTGAAAAGCCCTAGCAGGAGCTCGGAGTCTGGAGCGGGGCTCAGACACCTTTGAGAGCCAAAGAGAAGGACTGTGTCAAAACTGGGTGCCCATAAAGCCCTCACCGGAGCCCAGGCCAAGCCCGATCTCGACAGATCTCGGAAGCTAAGCAGGGTCGGCTCTGGCTGGTACTTGGATGGGCGACCTCCAGAGAATACCAGAGTCGGGAGGCAGAGGCAGGCTATCAAACTACTTCTCTGAACATCCTCCGTGGCCCAGTAGGAGTTGCCAGCAGGGGTCATTTTGTAGAAAAAGAGGCGCAGGAGCTCATTAGCATAACTCATTTGCATATGCCACACCCCCTGACATCACCGGAAATGTGTCAGAAGGCAACACCCACCGCTCAGGCTCCATTGGACTCTTTTGGATTGCTAGCTATTGGGGGAGGGGGGGAACGTGCAGATCTGTCCTTGCAGAGGAGGGAGAGCTTGTACCTCAATAAAATTTGGTCTTAAAGGTGCCACTGGACTGTTTTGGACAGGGGGGGGCAGGGGGGGATCTGCAGCTTACCTGGCTGCTTCTTGCTCTGACTGAGGGCTCCTGGGAGCAGGGGGTGGGGCTTGTTGCCTGTGCCCACCCCCTGGGCTCTTTACTGCCGGAGCGCCGCTCCTGTGCGCTCCTGCAGGAAATGACCCCTGGTCGCCAGAGGTTGCCATGACTTCTAGGCACGGGCACAGACACACACACACGTATGCACGCCCGCGCGGACACAAATGCAAACAAACCCCTAAAAACTGGGAGCCAGAGATGAACAAAGAGCCGGTATCAAAAAGATAGAGCACCATAAAGACGAACCAGAAAAGGTTCGTGAGTCACTGCTCCCTTCTTCAGACGTGAGCAGTGAGTCCCGAAACCTCATCCCCCCTGCCACATGCGGGTGGTCCCGGTTGGGCAATGTGAAACGGGTGGGCCTCGCTTGGGGTAACAAAATACCCCGAGCCAGATCTGGGCTTTCCCGAGGCCTCCTGCTGGGCTGATGGCAGAGACGAGAGTCAGACCGAAGACTAGGCAGTTCTCGGCTCGGTTGCTCTGCAAAGCTCTGTCCGGGCTCGGCTTCCCTGGAGGAACTGGGGAATGTCAGTTATTCCTCACCCGAATTGTGTTTATTCCTTTGCTTTGCAGCCGTGCTCTCCCCGGCCTCCATCTAAGGGCGGAAAGCCTTCCCTGGCGAAGGACTGATCTTGGCACGCCCGCTGTGCTCAGGTGCCCTTGCCAAAGCGGTTGAGTCACGCAGGTGTTTGTGCAAGCCGGAGGGAAGGGGGTAGGAGCGGGCATCTGCCAGCCGATCAGCCTGGCACCCGGGAATGCATCCCAGCTGGGGAGCCTCGCCCTCGGTCCCCCGAGCAGACCTTAGTGGGGGCAATGCTCCCTCTAAACTGTGGAGTCTTGTGAGCAAAAATTCTACGTTGTGAGTGACTGGCAGAAGACTTCTGCCCCGGGTGGGCAAAGGGATCCTTCCTCCCCCCCCCACCCCCCACACACTGTTTTCTTAATTTCAGCTGTCTCCCAGGAGGAAACATAAAGGTAAAGGTTCCCTTGCTCGAAAGCCAGTCGAGTCTGACTCTAGGGTTGCGGTGCTCATCTCCGTTTCAAAGCCGAAGAGCCAGCGCTGTTCAAAGACGTTTCCGTGGTCATGTGGCCGGCATTACTAAACATCAAGGCGCACGGAACGCTGTTACCTTCCCACTGAAGTGGTACCTATTTATCTACCTGCAATTTCTTGCTTTTGAACTGCTAGGTTGGTAGGAGCTGGAACTAGAGACGGGAGCTCACTCCGTCAGGCGGCACACTCGGGTCTCGAACTGCTGAACTACCGACCTTCCACCTATATTGTGTCTGTATGTTTCCAAAAAGCAATTCCGTGGGACATTTGAGGTTAGGGAAACAGAAAAGGGGGGGTGGGATAATTAATCCTTCCTCCCCGTGCCTTACATCTTCTCCTTCCAGAAATTAAAACAAAACTACTGCCGATCCATTTGCGCCCCTTCCGCCATCTTATGTGCTCGTGAGTTGGGTGCAGGAAAGGCGGATTTTGCGCTGGTCTCTCTCAATCGCACGTGGACCTGTAAGCACCCCCACGTGTGCCTGGGGGTCTAGTCACAGTTTATATGTGACACCTGGTGTTGGAAATTTGGCCTTATATGGAGACGTTGTGTGAAGCGGTGAAGGAGGGTGGGTTTTTTCTCCAAGAGCTGATCTCTCTCGCATCTTCCGGAAGATGTCTCCCCCTAGAGGCCTTTTTGGAGCAGATTGCTTTTTTCCTCCCTCACCTTCCAAATTTTATGCACAAAAATGTCACCTGGACAGGGCCTGGAGTGACTTGGACAGAGGGGCCGTCTGTGGTGGGGTTGTTGTTAATAAGCGATCCCACCATCCAGTTGCTTCGGGAGGGGGTTTCTGCAGTGTGCCTTAGTAGTTAGAGGGTCAGACTCAGACCTGGGAGACCCGGGTGCGAATCCCCACTCTGGCATGGAAGCCTACTGTCAGTCACACACTCTCAGCCTAACCTACCTCGCAGGGCTGTCGTGAGGCTATAATGGAGAAGGGGAGAATAATGTGAGCCGTTTGGGTCCCCATTGGGGGAAAAGGTGGGGTATTGATGAAGTGAGGAGATAAATGGTGGAAGGAATCCTTGCTTTGCATTAGAAGAAGAAGAGATTGGATCTACACCCCACCTTTCACTACCCGAAGGGGTCTCAGAGTGGATTACAATCTCCTTCCCCTCCCCACAACAGACACCCTGTGAGGTAGGTGGGGCTGAGAGAGCCCTTTCGAGGACTGCCCTTGAGAGAACAGCGCTGAAAGAACTTGTGAGTGACCCAAAGTCATACCAACAGCTGCATGTGAAGGAGTGTGGACTCAAACCCGGTTCTCCCAGATTAGAGTTCATGCTTCTAACCACCAAACCAAACTGGCTCTCAAGCTCAAACAGGAATGTCCAGGAAGAGGTAGTGGAGACCACCAAGGAAGTCCAGGGTTGATATGCAGAGGAAAGCACTGGCAAACCATTGTGGTGTGGTGGTTAAAGAGTGTCTGACTAGTATCTTGATGGGTAACTGTGTCAGTCTGTCCGCAACAGTAGAAAAGAATCAGAGTCCAGTTCAGATATCTGAAGAAGTGAGCAGCGACTCATGAAAGCTCATACCCAACCACAAATTTTGTTAGTCTTTAAGTTACTATTGGACTAGTACCCGGGAGACCCAGGTTCGAATCTCCAGTTGTGTCATGGACGCTTGATGGGTGACCTTTGCCAGTCATGCTCTCTCAGCGCAAAATACTTCACAGGGAGAGCCACTTTGGTGCAGTGGTTAGGAGCACGGACTCTAATCTGGGAGAACCAGGTTTGATTCCCCACTCCTCCACATGCAGCTGCTGGGGTAACCTTGGGTCAGTCACAACTTCTCTCAGAGCTGTTCTCTCACGAGCAGTGCTCGAAAGAGCTCTCTCAGCCCCACCTACCTCCCAGGGTGTCTGTTGTGGGGAGGGGAAGGGAAAGGAGATTGTAAGCCCCTCTGAGACTCCTTTGGGTAGTGAAGGGCGGGGGATAAATCCAGTCTTCTTGTTGTGAGGATGAAATGGTAGAGGAGAGGAGGATAAAGGCAGGGGACAAGTGAATGAAATAAAATAAATAAATAATAAACCACCTCTGCTCATCTCTCGGACAGACGACCTTCACGTTATGTGTTTCTGTTCTCTTCCTTTAGGGACCTCCCCGTGCAAAATCATGAAGTGCAACTCTGAGTTCCTGGCCGCCACGTCGGGGCCTCACCACCTGGGCGCCGAGGAGCCCCCCGAATTCTGCACGGCCCTGCGCACCTACGCCCACTGCACCCACCGGACGGCCCGGACCTGCCGGGGGGACTTGGCTTACCACTCCGCCGTCCACGGCATCGACGACCTCATGGCTCAGCACAACTGCTCCAAAGAGGGGCCCACCGCCCAGCCCCGCCCCCGCCCCCCGCCCCGGGGGGACAGCCAGGAGCGCTCCGACAGCCCCGAGATCTGCCATTACGAAAAGAGCTTCCACAAGCACTCCCCCTCTCCCAACTACACCCACTGCGGGCTCTTCGGGGACCCCCACCTTCGGACTTTCTCGGACACTTTCCAGACGTGCAAGGTCCAGGGGGCGTGGCCTCTCATAGACAATAACTACCTGAACGTACAGGTCACCAACACCCCTGTCTGGCCGGGATCCACGGCAACCGCCACCAGCAAGGTAAGAACACGGCGGACATGACGGCAGGCGTGATGAGAGCCAGTTTGGTGTCGTGGTTAAGTTGCACGGACTCTAATCTGGGAGAACCGGGTTTGATTCCCCACGCCTCCACTTGCAGCTGCTGGATGACCTTGGGCAAGCCGTAGTTCTGACAAGCGCTGTCCTTGAAAGAGCAGTTCTCTCAGAACTCAGCAGTTCACTCAGCCCTGCCTACCTCACAGGGTGTTTGTTGTGGGGAGGGGAAGGGGAAGGAGATTGTAAACCGCTCTGAGACTCTGAGTGAAGGGCGGGGTATAAATCCAATCTCTTCTTCTCCTCCTCTCTGGTGGCGAACGACGCCTCAGGAAGCCACCCACATGTGGCCAATCAGGAGATACTTCTTTTCTTCCAAATTCATTTATCTCATTTAGAAAAAGAAGAGATTGGATTTATACCCCGCCCTTCACTACCTGAAAGAGTCTCAGAGTAATTTACAATTTCCTTTCCCTTCCCCTCCCTCCTGTGAGGGAGGTGGGGCTGAGAGAGCTCTGACAGAAAATGCTTGTGAGAGAACAGCACTAAGAGAACGGTGACTGACCCAAGGTCACCCAGCTGGCTTCGTGTGGGGAATCAAACCCGGTTCATGCAGATTATGTTCCAGACGGCATTCACTCAGCTTGGCTTGATGACGTCAGTTTTTCCAGGGCTGCTTCGAGTCGCAGCGCCACACTGCCACCGCCTGGCCGGATTGGCCCGTCACAGGCTTCTTAATGCCGAAGAGATCTTCCCAGGCTTCCGAGCTCACGAGCTGAACATTCCGTTTCGCCGGCTAACACCTCCCCCCACCGGGGAGGTTTAGTGTGCCCACCCTCTCTAAGGAGTGGTACCCATTTTATCTACTCGCCAAAGCTTTCGAACCGCTGGGTGGACGGCGAGCTGGGGACAAGGCTGGTAGCTCACACCGGCGCGGGCTAGAACTGACAGCAGTTCAGTTCAGACGTTATTGTAACCAGAGGATAAATCCTCTGTGCCACCGCTCCAGAACCAGTGTTGGTAGCGTCAGGTCTTAGTCAACAGACAGGCTGCCGCGTTCCGAAGTTTCTGGATTGTGTTCAAGGGCAGCCCCAGATAATCGCGGTAGTCCAGATGGGATGGATTCCCACCATTAGGCAGAGACTTGGGGAGGGGCTGTGGCCCAGGAGAGGGACCCTCGTGGCTAGGCTTCTAAGAAAGTTGGGGGGGGGCAGGGCTTGGTTGAATGGATGTCCTCTCCCTGGCTTTTGTCTCTGGCTTCCTCGTGCTGTTGCAGAGACCCAAGATAACTGGATGCCAACCCTGTCTGATTCGGTGTCACTCTGCTTTGAAGTAACGGAGTCTCGCAGGAGAGTTATCTTGCTGGAGAGGCTCAGTGGTCCAGGTTCTCCTTTGCTTGCAGAAAGTCCCTGGTTCAGCCCCTGGAATCTCCAGCCAAAAGGGTCAGGTAGTAGGCGAGGTGAAAAATCTCCATCTGAGACCCCAAAGGGGCACTGCCAGGCAATACTGACCTCGATGGATCAGTGGTCTGATTCCATATCAAACAGCTTCGTGTGTTGGAAGTTCTGACCATAGAGTTCCTGGTGATTACTAGAGCTACCTGGAAGTGTCAGGGGTGTCAAACATACGGCCCAGGGGCTGGGGCTGGCCCGCCCAGGGCTCTTATCTAACCCACGAGCAACTGATGCGAGACACAGAAGGCAGGAGGCTGTTCGGGGGGGGGATGTCAACAGTGAGGTGAGGTGTGTGTGTGGTCGAAGCTGTAAAGAAATGAAAGGAAGGGGACAGGTATGGTATCCCTTTGGGGGGTGGGGGAAATCTTACTGTTACATATAATTAAATACACTTATTGGATCTTTTGTGGATTCTCCAGTAGTCAATTGCTTTCACGCCTAGGGATCATTTGCTTTTGTTTGTAGTTTGAGTAAAAAAGAATACTGTTAATTGCGTTTGCCCTGTGTTGTTTACTAAGTTCATATCTCCGGATTCCTGGCATTACATTTTACGGCAGACATGGCCCGGCCTGACAAAGTAACATTTATGTCAGATCCAGCTCTCGTAATGAATGAGTTTGACACCTCTGCTCTAGGAATTGCCAGAAACTCTATGGTCTGAACTTCCTGCAAGTAGATGAGGCTGGACTTTTCTATATAATTTTTTCTCCCCAGGATGACTGTGCCCCTTCCTGTTCACTCCCACTTTATCCCCGCCGACCACGTGAGGATTGGCAGGCAAGGGCCACAATTAGTCACAACATAATTAGACAAATTGGACAAAGTTGGGTGTAGGCTGTTGTCTGCATTTGAGAGCTCCCTTCAGTGCTATGCTGTCATTTTCACACCATCTTTTCCCTCCTCCATTGTCCATGCAGCTCACGATCATCTTCAAGAGCTTCCAGGAGTGCGTGGACCAAAAGGTCTACCAGGCAGAGATGGACGAGCTCCCAGCGGCCTTCATTGACGGCTCCCAAAATGGCGGCGACAAGCATGGGGCCAACAGCCTGAAGATCATCGAGAAGGTGTCAGGTCAGCACATCGAGATCCAGGCCAAGTACATCGGGACCACCATTGTGGTGAGGCAGGTTGGCCGCTACCTCACCTTTGCCGTGAGGATGCCCGAGGAGGTGGTCAACGCCGTGGAGGACAGAGACAATCAGGGCCTCTACCTCTGCCTGCGGGGCTGCCCACTCAACCAGCAGATAGACTTCGAGGCCGTCCGCTCCGCCGCACAGGCTGCCGAAAGCCCGCCTCGGCAGAAAGGGCAGGCCTTCACTCACGACGCGGCCACGGCCAAATGCCGGGAGAAGCTGCCGGTGGAGGACGTGTACTTCAAGTCCTGCGTCTTCGACCTCTTGACCACGGGGGACGTCAACTTCACCCTCGCGGCCTACTACGCCTTTGAGGACGTCAAAATGCTCCATTCGAACAAAGACAAATTGCACTTGTACGGACAGTCCAGGAACGCGGCTCTCTCCCAGCGGCCTGTTCCCCTTTTCCTTCTCCTAGCCGTGCTGGGGTATTTGAGCCACTTCTCGGCCATTTTCCTATAGGCCTTCACCTTGGCAGAGGCAACCACACACACACACACACACACACACACAATGTCACTGTACTGGTACGAGCTGAGCCACCTGAGAGCGAAGGGTTTCTTCACCGCTCTGAGCGAGTCGTGGACCTCCTCGCGGTACAAAGTTTTTCTGGCGTTGTGACGCCTTTCCGCACGACTCGGACTCATGTTCGCCACCTGCTCCGTTCCCTCCTGTTGCTAAGACTTACGGGAGACCCTTCCCCTCCCTTGCACCCCTTTTTTCTCTGCTTCAGACGGTTGTGGCGATTGTGACTTTTGGCATTTATGTAAGCTGGGTCATTGTCGGAGAGGCGGAGGTAGCCAACGTTGCCAGAAAGGAGCGGCGGTATCACAGCTGCACGAGGTGGCGTCGAAAGACCAGTGGGGCAGGTCTTCCCAGCACGGGCTGCTCAATGCCTCCCCTCCCTGGGTGGTTAGATTTTTCCTTTCTCGGATGCATCCGTGGATTGTCTCCGGGAAGCAACGTCTGCACCTGGCGATATGCCTCACACGTGTTCCTCCCTCCTCACGCATGCAGAGCATGCCCTTACACATTTGTAATGGCTGCTGGTGTACCCCCCAACACCTGTGTTCTCCCTGGTGCGGCTGCGGGCAGCTGCCTAGGCACAGTTGGGCACGGCAAGTATGTGGGGATCTGCCCCTTTCTCCCATCTTCAGTCCAGAAAGATTTGGGGCGTGGGAGATCTGGTTTGCGGGAATCTATTTCTTCCTCTAGCAGGGCCTTTGCTCTTTGGGTAAGGAAAGGATGTGATTGGGGTTGCTGATATTTTCTGTCGCCCTCCTCCACTAGGAGTGGCAGCAGAAGAAAAATAAAGGGGGGAAACGAACACTGCCAGCCTCAGTGCTGGTTCGTCACATATGGGTACAACCCGGAAGTGATAACGGGTACCTCTAGGGATCTCCGGAAACTCTATAGTAAAATTATAAAGTTTCCGGCGATTCCTAGAGCTACCCTTTATCACTTCCAGCTTGTACCTGGAAGTGATGTAGCGATGTCAGTGACATCACACGCCGCCCCCATGTCCTTTCCTCCCCCTTGTTGCCTGGCAGCCCTGGGCATAACGGCAATAGGGAAGAGGTCCACTTTTCCCAAGGGAGCCCCTTTGCAGCGCGGCAGATTTTGGCCTTGCCCAAAGGCACGCAGCACTCCTGTCCCTGCCTCCTTTCCTGCCCTCTCCTTCTAACCCCCACCTCTCACACTCATTCCAGTACTCTCAGGATACACTAGGCCAGTATTCCAGTGGTGTATGCTACTTCTTTTAATTTTGACCTTGCACAGCAAACAGAGGTGGAGATTTTCTTCCTGGGGGGCTCTCCATGGAAACATGACAAGGGCTCCAAACCCTATCTCTCCCCCCAGTTTTTTTGTTCGCGCTCTGGAGAACTTCTTTACTCAACGAGTCATTGCGGAATTCACTGCCTGCAGGTTTTCATGAACGATGGGGTTAAAATTGGCTGGGCATGCATTGAACCTTCAGAAGCCGTGTGAAGGGGGATGCAAGTCTTCTGAAGTCACCCATTCCTTTTGACATGGGGCGTTTCCGCACTCTCTTTTGCCTCCCTTGTGTGTTCCTGTTTCTTCAGGCTTTCTGCATGTGTTTTGCTCCCTCTAGTGGTCAGTGTGATATTACGTCACGTTATGTCCAGCATAAAAACCTGCTGTTTAAATTTGCAGGGAGATACGCTTCCCTGACTGTTCCCTGGAAGGCCAGATAATGAAACTGAAGCTCAAATACTTTGGCCACCAAATGAGAAGGAAGCACTCCCTGGAGAAGACCCTGATGCTGGGAAAGATTGAAGGTCAAAGAAGACGGGGACGGCAAAGGATGAGATGGTTAGACAGTGTCATCGATGCAACGAACATGAAATTGAGCCAACTTTAGAGGATGGCGGAAGACAGGAGGGCCTGGCGGGAGATGATCCATGGGGTCGCGAAGAGTCGGACTCGACTGTGCGACTGAACAACACCACCACACTGGACATAAAGCGATGTAATATTGATTCGGCCACTAGAGGGAGCAAAACATGTAGGGGGGGGGGGGGAGACCAATGAAGCAACAGGTACACACAAGCATTGAAAAATCAGAAGGCAGAAAAGCCCTTTGGCACACAAACCAGACCTGGGTAGGGTTGCAGGATTCTATGGTGTACACTGTTCTCAAATTTGTTGCACAGGATTACCCTTAAGTGCTGCTATCTGGTTTGTTTTCCTTCATCCCTGTGTCCCGCCTCTCCATATCTTTTCCAGTAAAGCCCTTTGTCCCAGTTGACCGAACATCTAAGCGATCAAGGAACGGCCTCTTCAGCAACGAGGCACCAACCCATAATACTCAACTATTGAGTCCAAACTCCCCCCCCCCAGCAGCCCAGCTTCCATTCTCTGCTCCTCAACTTCTGCCTCCAGCGTCTCCACTGTGCTGTTCAAATGCAATGACATAGCCCTTGGGTGTAAATTATTATGTCTGTAATATAGAGAGGGACCGCCTGATGGTCTTGTGTGACTGTACAGATGAAGAGGTGTAAGTTTTGTTTCAAATGGTGAAAGACAATATGTGATTACTACTTTGCCTCCCCCGCTGGCTGATTCGCCAGTGACCCGTTTCTCTCCCCTTTCCTATGGGTTGGCGTTTCTTCTGAGAGAGAGCGTAAAACAGGATCACTCAACCTCGTTTGCAAACTTGGGTTCACTTGGGGTCAGCAGGGGGGAGGTTGGGGGTTGCCAAGTTTGCAAATGAAGGGACCAGCATTCCCAGACCCTGGAAGACCACCAACTCGTTTCCTTGGGCAGAGGAGATCTATTTGAGACCAGTCAGCTGCCTTGAAATTTGCCAGTCATGAATGCAGAGAGTCCAGTTAGTGCAATTCTCTTGCCAGCCTGACCTCCGAACATAGGCGTAATCTTCGTGGGGGCGGCGGGGCTTCAGCCCCCGCCGAAATTTTCAGGAAGCTGCTCAGCCTCCCCCGGGAGCCACCCTTGCTCCTAGCAAAGCAATGCCTCTTGCCCAGCCCCAGCCCCCCCCGGGAAATTGGAAAGTCTACACCCTTGCCTCCGAATACTTGCTAGAAGCAGAAGTTGTGCTTCCTTCTCCTGTTATTCGGCCAACACATAAAGGATGGTTGCATGGTGACCTGAAAGCCGATCCCCAGACAACTCCTCTTACCCCCTGACTGCCCCGCAGTTATGGCTGCCAGAGAAATTCCTTGAGATTTTGGGTGTGGAGCCTGAGGAAGGCGGGGTTTGTGCAGGGCAGGGACCTCATTGGGTAGAATGCCGTACAGCCCGGCCTCCAAAGCTCTCCTTTCATTCTGGGGAACTGATGTGTATCATCAGTTGTAATTCCAGATCTCCGGGCCCCTGGTGGAGGTTGTTAGCCCTACCCACAATCCTGTGCGACATCACAGAAGATTGTCAGAGGCAAAACCGGTAGAGGCTGCGCGCCTCGTTGTTGGCACTGCACCGCAGTGGATTACGATTGTGTGCAATCCAGCCAAAGGGGGAAATCTTTTGTTTAATCTTACCCCCTCCGACTCTTTTAAAAACAGGGTTTCTGTTGGACGATGGAGATGTTCACACCAGTGTTCCCTCGAAGCTGAGTTAGTGTGAGCTAGCTCACAGTTTTTTTGGCCTCCGGCTCACACATTTTTGTCTCCGCTCAGGAAGGAGGGCTCCGGAGCCAACTGGTTTATGCGGCAGCCCAATCGCTCGCTCGCCACTTTAATGCCCGTAGCTCACAAAGTAGAATTTTTTGCTCACTCCACAGTTTAGAAGGGAACATTGGTTCACACATCCATCAATGAAGAGACTGGGTTAGAAGACTTTTTTAAAAACAAAACTGAGCACCCAAATGCAGAAAGTTTGGCCTAACTGAGACATACTGTGGAGGTCCTGAAATCACGGCCGGGGTGCTGAACCAAACCACAACCACCTCTGCGTTTGTGCCCCATTTTCGTTTACAAAAAAGCCAAGGATATCTAAACTCCCCCTTTGGGGAGTACAATCAGCACTAGCGGGCGGGTTCAAACCTGGGGTGACTATCCTAGTCCCCCTGTAACTTGAAATAGGAGTGATTGTCTACCACAGGCAGTGTTCCCTCTAAGCTGAGTTAGTGTGAGCTAAGCTCACAGTTTTTCAGCCTCTGGCTCACACATTTTTGCCTTCGCTCGGGAAGGAGGGCTCCAGAGCAAACTAATTTATGTAGTCGTCAAATCAGTTGCTCACAGCTTTTATGCCAGTAGCTCACAAAGTAGAATTTTTGCTCAAAGCCTCCACAGCTTAGAGGGAACATTGACCACGGGAATTAAAAAAAAAAAATAGATGAAATTGTATATGCGGCTGGATCTTCTCAACTGATCCCACTCTTTCGGATCTGCCCCTTCCTTCCTAGTCGGTCAATCCCGTGACCGTTTTCTAGGAGTTGGGAATATCCCTGTTTTAATGATCAAAGAACTGAGAAAGCACTTTATTTTGTAATGTTCGGGCTTACCGGTGAAGCAGAGCCAACGAAGACCCAACGAATCTAAGAAAAATAAAGAGCAAGGGCGTATGTCCCCGAAGCCATCCCACCTTCCTTTCCACCTTTTGTGTGTGCGTAGAATTTTTGTGGGGTGTTAACTGTACATACTGTAAATTATTTATTGATGAAAAATTCAAGTAAAAAAATTTTTTTTCTTCTTCCCAGCACTCTGGAGGTGACTGCTTTTCTGGGTGTCAAAATATTTGACACGTAAAGTGAACCAGTGTGTGTGTGTGTGTGTGTGAGAGAGAGAGAGAGAGAGAGAGAGCGCATGAAACCCTTTGCACATGCATATCCATACAACTGCCTTTTCCTTTGGAGACCCACTAGAATGTAGTGGTTCAAGAGTGCCAGACTGGATCTGGAATACCCAGGGTCCAGTCCTTCCCCCCACTCTGCCATGGAAGTTCACTGCCAGCTTAACTCTCTGACAGCTCAACCTACCTCACAGGGTTGTGGTGAGGATAAAATGGAGGAGAGGGAAACAATGTAAGGTGGTTTGGGTCCCCATTCAGGAGAAAGGCAAGGTATGAATGAAGTCAGCTGCAGAGAGGGGTAAAAAGGTATGAATGAAGTCAGAGATGCAGAGAGGGGTAAAAAGGTATGAATGAAGTCAGAGATGCAGGTAAAGGAAGGTATGAATCAAGTCAGATGCAGAGAGGGGTAAAAAGGTATGAATGAAGTCAGCTGCAGAGAGGGGTAAAAAGGTATGAATGAAGTCAGCTGCAGAGAGGGGTAAAGGTATGAATGAAGTCAGATGCAGAGAGGGGTAAAAAGGTATGAATGAAGTCAGCTGCAGAGAGGGGTAAAGGTATGAATGAAGTCAGATGCAGAGAGGGGTAAAAAGGTATGAATGAAGTCAGCTGCAGAGAGGGGTAAAGGTATGAATGAAGTCAGCTGCAGAGAGGGGTAAAGGTATGAATGAAGTCAGCTGCAGAGAGGGGTAAAGGTATGAATGAAGTCAGCTGCAGAGAGGGGTAAAGGTATGAATGAAGTCAGCTGCAGAGAGGGGTAAAGGTATGAATGAAGTCAGCTGCAGAGAGGGGTAAAGGTATGAATGAAGTCAGCTGCAGAGAGGGGTAAAGGTATGAATGAAGTCAGCTGCAGAGAGGGGTAAAAAGGTATGAATGAAGTCAGATGCAGAGAGGGGTAAAGGTATGAATGAAGTCAGATGCAGAGAGGGGTTAAGGTATGAATGAAGTCAGATGCAGAGAGGGGTAAAGGTATGAATGAAGTCAGCTGCAGAGAGGGGTAAAAAGGTATGAATGAAGTCAAATGCAGAGAGGGGTAAAAAGGTAAGAATGAAGTCAGATGCAGAGAGGGGTAAAAAGGTATGAATGAAGTCAGATGCAGAGAGGGGTAAAGTGGGGGGGGGGGGGATTCGTTTCTTTCCCTTTCACTGTCATCTTCACCCAAAGAGTGATTAACAGATGGAATTCACTGCCACAGGAGGTGGTGGCGGCTACAAGCATGGGCGGCTTCAAGAGGGGATTGGATAAATATATGGAGCAGAGGTCCATCAGTGGCTATTAGCCACAAGGTATATAGATAGGAACTCTCGGTCTGGGGCAAGGGATGCTTTGTATTCTTGGGGCTTGGGGGGGCAACAGTGGGAGGGCTCCTAGTGTCCTGGCCCCACTGCTGGACCTCCTGATGGCCCCTGGTATTTTTAGCCACAGTGTGACAGAGCAACACTGGATGGGCCACTGGCCTGATCCAAAATTGGCTTCTCTTATGTTCTTATGTACTGGTTGGAGGTCAAATGGGGTTTTTCACCAGCCTCAAGGAAGCTGCTAGTTTAAGTTCAGTACTTCTATGCAAATTATGGGATTTTCCATCTTCTAATCTTCCTTGTTTGTGTGTACCTGTTGCTTTGGGGGTGTTTTCCCTGCTCTGCATATGGTTTGCTCCCTCTAGTGGCCGATTCAGTATTACATTGCTTTATACGCTGCATATCTCTCTGCAGAGTCAAACTGCAGGTTTTTATGCTGGACATAAAACAGTGTAATATCTAATCGCCCACTAGAGGGAGTAAAACATGTGCCAAACAGACAAAAAGAACCCAAAGAAACAGGAACTTAAAAGGGAAGGAAAATGAGAATGCGGAAAAGCCTTATGATGCAAAGGCCATGGCTCTGGGAACCCACAATTTAAGCCCCGTTTAGCTATGACACTCCAGGCAGAATTACAGGTTATAAACAGCACTGC